TGTCAAAGATGTTGGTTGATGGAAGAGTTCCAGTAAATTTGATGCCATATACCACTTATCGGAAGCTTGAGAAGACACCAGAAGATTTGAGCAAGACCAACATAGTACTCAAGGATTTTGGTGGGAATTGATCAGATGCCAAGGGAGTATTAAATGTGGAGTTAACAGTGGGGAGCAAGACTATTCCTACAATTTTCTATCATTGATGGAAAGTGATCATATAGCTTGTTGCTTGGAAGGTATTGGATTCATGCTAATTGTTGCATTCCATCAACAATGCATCAAAGTTTGATTCAATGGCAGGGAGACCAAGTAGAAATCGTGCAAGCAAACAGGTCAGTTAATATTACTATTGCCGATTTGTCTATTTGGGAGATGGATGAAGTTGATTGTTTATCATAAAAAACAGTTCCCTCCTGTGATGCAAGAATCACATATTAGCTATATTGCATATAGTAGTACAAGTTCATATAAATGCCCATTTGCATCTGTCTATTGGATTGTCTAGTAGCAAAGGGCATTGAGTTATGCTTGAGTAAATGTTGCATGCATTTTAGATATTATTATTAGTTAAGCTACTAAAGGGTAATACATTAAGGCCGATGGGCCAATTAAGAGGGCTAAAGAAAAAAATATCTCTGTAAATATCTCATCAAAGGTAAAAAAAAAAAGGTAAAAGGCCACCAATCCTAGGGTTGGAAACTCGGATTGTAAACCTATAAATAACCCCCAAGGGGTGCTTTATAGGGGTTCATATTTTTTGGGAAATTAATATATATAATTACCATTTTCATGTTCCACTCACTAAGAGGGTGCTTTCTAGGGGATCATATTTTTTTGAGAAATTAGTATATAATTACCATTTACATGTTCCACTCACTAAGAGAAGTTTGTTGTTCAACAACACAAGATATCAGCATCTCCATAGGAGATATAGATTAGTTAAAAACATACAACATGTTTGATCCACAAATAACTAAGGTCGCAATACTTCTATAAGAATTATAATTTCATTTCATGAAAATCAAGATTAGTTGAAAACTTTACAACATTGAAGTTGTCCATAGAAAAACATGCCATATCACTGTTTGTTTTAGTGTGTTTGTGGATTAATGTGCATAGAAATATGAGAGTTCACTTAGAGTTAAAAATGAAAGTGAGTTCACTTAGAGTTAAAAATGAAAAGTGGAAAGAATTTTGCTTTGCTTCTTTATAAACTAGGCATATATCATTGTGAACAAACCATACATACTACTACTTCTTAATTTAATACTCGTTTTAATATGACAATATTATGTGCACTAAATAACAGTCTTGCCACTAACTTTCTGAATTTGCAGCTACTTGCGGTCTGTTTGCTGTTGTCGGTAGTGTTGAGTCTGTGCACTTCATGTAAACTAGAACATTACAATCTTTGTCTGAATAACAAATATTGGATTGCAATCATTGGGATGGAAATTGTGTATGTGGTGGCAGTGCATGCCAGGTGCTCATGTATATACAGATGAATGGCCTCACTACAACTTTGCGCTATCCATACCGTGCAAAAAATGCTGGTGCAAGTACAAGGCAAAAGTTGCCCGCATATCTGATTTTACTCGCGCAGAGGTAGGGGAGAAGGGGCTAATGTAGTCAATCTTCAACCGGTTGTAGTGTATATTGATGCTAGTGGCTTGGACTTCGTGAGAAATTATGGAGACATAATCAGATATTCCAAAGAACAATTGACAATATTGTGCTACTTATTGGAACGATACAGCTGGAGAGGGAACCAAGTACTGGAGCATTAAGAACTCCTGAGATAAGGGGAGATGGGGGAACTCCTGGATAAGATGAGCAAGATGAGGGATATGAGGATTTGGTTATTTGGAGAGAGGTATCGATGACCCAAAGGGACATGTGGTATTATATAGTGTTCGGCTTATATTCTTGCATGAGTGACCTGCCTGCATCCTAAAGGTAAGCTTTGCTCAGTTTTGAAGTTGGGTTGGATTCCTCATACTATTTTTCTATTTTAATATCATTCAATATTTGAGTAACAGTTATCATATATATAGTAACAATAGAACAATGTATAGGGTTATGGATAACACATACCCAATAATCGACTAAGCTCGGTAGGACCCACTGTATAACAAGTCTTATACGGAATCATACCTCGTATATAAAAAGAGTTCAGGATCCATATTTGTTTTCCAAGTTCTATTTGGACAAGGACAAGAGGATATCTATGGGTATAAATACAAAACCTCCTAGGGGGAGAGAAAAAGACAAGCCAACACAAATTAACACGCTCAGTCAGAATAGGCACCAATACATGCCACCAGACACCGACATCAGAGATAAGCCTAGACAGATCCAATCTGGTGCCATTAGAGGCCAACAAGAGGGATCTAGCGCTATATCTGATCTCGCCGAGTACATATTTGAGGAAGAAGACTACCCCGTCGTCAACTAGGTGTTGGTGTTCCATGCCGCCAAGTTGACGATGACTAGAAAGGTTATCTCAAATATTGTACTTGTGTGATTCTGATGAATAAGAGCAACACCGGCTTCGGCCAATAGGAGTAGGGTTATTACCTTCTGGTGAAGGGGTCCGAACCTGTATAAAAATCCTTGTCTTCGTCTCTTTTATCTCAATCTCGCATATACCCTGGTACCAATGATCTCCATACTATGCAAACACCATAGTCGTGATCTAAAACATCGACAATGGTGCGCCTAGTAGGGGATTTTGATGCTTCAAGGTTTCGACGAGATGGGTTCAAGAAGACGGATTGTCCGACAACAAACAATTTGGCTATAGGGGGATCCGACCCAACCGAAGTGCGTTCTCCGATGGATCGGGATCCTCGTCATCTTAAGCTTCGTCGCCGAGGATTTTTTTCGACGAGGATACTTAAACGACTTTGGCCCTGGGAGATCTGACCCGACCAGAGTACGTCCCTTGACTAGATCAAATCATCGTCGCTAACAATTTGATCTATCGAGATCACCCAAGCTTTAGGGCACGTGGCATACCAGAAGATTTCAAATATATATGATTTCAAACGAGTACGCATCAAGGTAATTGGTAGATAGGTTTTTTAATTAATCTACTAGTTCTGTAGATATATCCGGCATGTATCTACAAGGTACGCAATATTTTGTATGCAATTTACCGTACCTATTTTTTAGTTCTATACGATATTGTCAGATCCATAATTTGTTATGTTTACCTAAAGCATGTTTTTTATACGATGTGTATTGCACGAGTGTTTCCTGTATTAGACTAACTACGGTCTAATACCGGGGGCTCGCTATGTTTCTGTTATATAAGTCATGCTTATTTATGGTTTACATAATACCCGATATTTAATCTGAATCTGCTCGTTATACCTGATAATACTAGAAGACTCATACAGTTTTTTAAGCTCATTAGCGAGGAGACCATGAAAATGAGCTACGATGAGAGGCTCAAGAGCTCTAAGCAGACTGACGAGGAGGCTATAAAGTAAGTGGCCATGAAGGTGAGCCACGAACAGTGGATGGAGTGGAGCAAACATACATAGAAAATTGAAGTGGAGAAGGCTCATCGCTTTGAGATATTCAAGGCCAATGTCGAGTTGATTGAAAAGTACAATGCTGGAGGAATGCTTACCCCTGCTTATTATGATTGAGGATGTTGACATGATTTAGTTTGGTGTATTATCAGTGGTACGAACTTAAGTTAGTTTGAGAGTAATATGATGATCAGTGTGCACTTACTATTTGTTGCACTTTTAAGTTAGTTTCTGTATAAAATTAAGGAATAAACCGGAATCTAGAGGAACCTTTGTAATGTTATGTATGTTGTGTTATGACTTCTGAGTAGCACAAATTAACACTATCAACTGCACTATATGGTAGAAAGTGGAAAACCATCTTCTTATGAATAATAGGTTCAGTTATATATATTTGATCGCTTGCGGAGTGGTTTATCAGATCAATGCATGCTGCAAGTCATAACCTGTTGGCGTTGATGTTTATAACTCGGTCTTTGTATATTTGACTTTCTTTTGCTGAGAAATACACGTGTAATTTGTTGAACTGGTATTTTCAGCATTTCAAGTGATGAACCTGAACTGAAAATACTGAAAGTCTGAAGCTTGTCTGAATTTTCGCCGGGTCGAATATATCTGAATTTCAAAAACAAGCAGCTACAACCAAGATTCAGATTGGAGAGTAGTAGTAGTAGTTCTTTTAATTGTGTCTCAAGTATCTGAGAATAACGCTAGCTGATACCTGATCATGCTCGATCCGCAAAATGTACAGCCATACGTGCATGATGTGTATATATAGAGAGATCGATCTGTATCTGGAGATAACAATAATGATGGATGCATCATATGCATGATGAACTGAACTGTAATTACGTTGTTTATGCTAACTTCAGCTGCATCATCAATCCCTTGGTCCTCCTATGCCTGTTTACTGCATGTTGAGGATTGAGTTCAGTGTTGGTGAAAAGAAAGACACTTGGATTTAAACCTAATGGTTCAGGTTTTTTTTTACACATTGGGTTTTCCTGCTTGAACTGAAGAAATGTAATAATATCCTTTGAGTAACAAATGTGAAATCCCCGCTTGCATCCTGTACTAGCGCGTATACACCTCTTATCTAATCATTTGGGAGCTGCAATGTGTAATCATTTGGGAGTAATAATTGTAGGGTCAAAAGGGCCGTGGTGGGCCGTAAATGTGTTTATCAACCCAGCCCAACCCCCCCCCCCCCCCCCCCCCCAAAATCCCACAAAAAAAATCACAAAAAGACTCGCGATCGACTCAACGCCGCCGCCACACCCAAAGCTTCGGCGACCGGCGGAGGCGGAAGAGCCAACTGCCTGTTCGTTCTCAGCGCAGAGGATCCTTGCTAGTTTCCTGTTCGATTTTAGCTTGCCTGATGAATTCGACGTGAGAGCCGTGTTGTTAAGGGTATGTTTGGTAGAGCTTAAACTCTTAAATTTAGCTTTAGGAGTTAAGTTTGAAGTAAAGTTGTGAAGCTGCTTCAATGCAGCTCCACTTCTCTAGTTCATTTTATAAGAACGCTCAACCCAGTTCTACTCTCATTTTAGGTATACCTAAAACTGTTAGTCTGAACTCCAACTTCAAAAAAGATAGAGTTAAACTATGACAAACAGATCCTAAGTGTTAACCTAACTCGACATCCTATTTGTAAAAATGTTTAAAAAAAATGTAGTTGTAAGCAACATGACATGGGAAATCCCAAATATTAAATATATTGTTGTTCAAGCGGTGGAGTTGTACAAGCTGTAGACGTCGAGCGGCGTGTTGCTGCAGCTGCTGCTGCTGGAGTCGACGACCCTGCCACGGCGGCGCGCGCGGCGGCCGCCGTCGTCGTCGAGGTCGAGGAAGACGACGACGGCGGTGATGTCGTCGTGGAAGTGGCGCCTCACCCCTCGCTCGATCCGCCGCAGGTCGCCGCGCCTCACCTCCCGCTTCCTCGCCGCCTCCCCGAGCGCTGCCTGCACCAGCCTCGCCGCCACGCCTCTCCTCGTCGAGCTCTTGGACACCAGCTGCACCGCCGCCTCGTCGGAGAGGTGCTCCCATAGGCCGTCGGAGGCGAACACGACGAACAGGTCGACGCCCGCCTTGAGCTTCCGGGCGTGGATGGACGGCTCGGCGGTGACCACCGGCCGCGCCAGCTCGACGGCGGCGGCGGCGCTGCATAGCCGCTGCACCGCCGGGTCGCGCTTGAACTCCGGCGTCTTGAGGTACACGTCGCCGATGGCGCGCGCCACCTGGATGATCCCCTTCACCCTCCACGCGCCGCGGGCGTGGACCACGACCTCGCCGTCGTCGGGGTGGAGCGCGGCGAGCTCCCTCCGGACCTCCTCCGAGGCCACGTTGTGCTCGGTGGAGAGCCGCTCGGCGACGGTCTGGCCGGCCGCCGCGCGGCGGCCGAGGACAGCGCGGGAGTCGCCGGCGTTGGCGACGTAGAGCGTGTCGCCGGAGATGGCGCCCAGGAGGCAGCAGGAGCCCGAGGCGGCCGCGCGGGACATGTTCGGCAGCGACCACCGCAGCAGCTGGAGGTACTCCTCGTCGGCCGCCAGGAACGCCTTCCGGATCACGTCGGCGTCCACCGCGCCGCCGCGCTCCGCCGCGAACTCTGCTCATCAATTTTTGGCGCCAACAAAATCAGCTAAAGATTCTTGCCAACGTATTCAAATCAAACCACAAGATCGAGCTCCGCCGCGCGCCGGCGAGCGCACGCACCATGGATGAGAGGGAATAGGCGGGAGCGGAGGAAGCGGGAGGCGTCGGGGCCGCCATGGCCATCATAGACGCCGACGAGCGTGGCGCCGGGCGACGCCATGACCTGCGCCTGGTCCTCCATCACCGCGTTGGCCTGCGCCGCCGCCATGGAGAACTCCCCCGCCGCGTGCGCCGTCAGCTCCGCCTGCCACGTCAGCTCATCCCGACCACCCCTCGCCGCCGCCGGCCACCCCACGCACCACCTCGCCATCATCCACTCCAAGAAACCAACCAACCAAACAAACCAAGCTCGATTCAAACCAGGAATGGATCGCTCTTGTGCTCGTCGATGGGCAGGTGATCTGATCTGAGTCTAGGTAGGGAGGGGGGGTATATGTTGGCGATGTCTTCTTCTCCGGCGAGGCGACGTGAAGCCCGTGACTGACCTGCTTGGCTTCATATATGTGGCAAAGACTGCAACAGCATGGGGAGGATGAGCTTTGACTTTTGACTTTGTGGACTTGTTGCCAATAATTCCAACACGGTGTTCCTCGGTCTTATCTTAATGGTATCGTTTTTTTTTTCTTTTTGGCCGGATCTATATATATTTTGCTGCATAGCTAGCTCTCGGCTGTTTGCCTTTTTCATCTATTTTATAATATATCATGCTGTAGATTTTTTAAATATAACGTTTGAAGACAGTTTTTATTAATAAATATTTAGCGCAAATATAACAAAATTATAAGTCATGTTTTGAAAATAAAACTTTAATACTAAAATAAGTCATAACAAAGTAAATGATACTTGTATAGTTTTTCAGTAAGTTTGATGTTGAAAATCATGTCTAGAAATCAACAACATAGTTTTTTTTTCTTTATAAAAAATGTAGGTAGTAATTTGGTTATTTTTTTCACACGGAAAAATGTCCAAATCTCTCTGACCATTCTGCTCCAGCTATATGTAGTAGTGACTACTACTAGTAGGGTGAGAAGTCGTCGCTTGTTGGTCTGGTCTGAAGCGAAGAAAAATACCCAAGATTAATTGTTCGTGTTGGCTATACTTGTTTTGGATTCACGGGTTCGGTGGTGATCGTGATTACTTGATGCAATTACGTCAAAAAGCTCTGGACTGCGATTAACGAAGAAAAATCAAGACTTTTGCTACAAGTCCCGATCGATTAATGTTTTTCTTAAGGTGGGCTAGTCCATTTTAGACTGAATATTTGGAGCAATTAATCAATAGCAACTCATAAGCATGATTGTTTCCATGAAGCAGACAGGACTTGTCAAACCATGACATCTAAACAAAGTGAGAAATAAATTAATTTTAACCCCCTCAATCGAGAGCATATGCGCCTGTCCCCTCAATCGAGAGTACCAGTTTATTGTTTATAAGTTATGACAAAATTATGGAGTAATACGAGATTATGGAATATTATATTTTTTTACACAAATTTGAAATATCAAGTTTGATTTACATAAGGGAAAAAATGGAACAAAATTAGACTATAAACAGACACTCATTCGGCTAGATTCGTTTATTTCCAGCTGGCTGTTAAATCGGTTTGACTAAGTATTCATTCGACAGTGTTGTATGAGCTTGACTTATTCTAACACGGGAACAAGACGAGTCCTTAGGGGATGAATCCAGAATAAAAATTATCGGATGTTCTCTACCTACAAATCAATTAGTATTTTATTTGTGAATCTAGAAAAAAATTACTCCGGTAATTTCTGCCTACAAATTTGCTTTATTTACATATGCTAACATGATCTAATTGTAATAAAAAAAATAAAGATTCTCCCGTGTCCATTAACTATTGAAACACATGGAAATTAGATTTATTTAGTTTTTTTTAAAAAAAACCTTCAACATTGATTTTTCTTTTATACACCAAAGATACCGTTCGGCAATTTGGAAAACGTGCTCATAGCAAACTACCGCTTAAGCTGGATTTCACAACATATATACGCACACACCATATAAATCTCAAGCAACACAACGTACTTTCGAGTGTTTAATCACTTTTCGACGAAAAGTGTGTTCGAGTTTCTGACTACTGTTAGTTGTTCGAGGTTAGGTAGTGACTACTGTTAGTTGTTGCTGGTACAATTCGTCGTTTGTAAATCCAGTTCGAAGCAAAGAAAATTGATGTTTTTTGGTTCACTGGATTTGTGATCTTATGTCCAAATTAAAGCTCCGGATATGACGGCGACTCTTGATGCAAGTCTTGATTTATTATGGACCTTTTTTGTGCAGGCTGGGTTAGTTCGTTTCAGACTGATCAAGATTTGGAGCAATACCATCTCATAACTAAGCAAGGTTTCTCCACGAAGTAGACAACATAACTTATCACAAGGTAAAGGCTTGTTCGATTAATCCTCATTAGATAGGGATTAGAAAAGATTAAGAAGGATTAATTTTATACTTTAATAGATGTGTAATTATTTTTATTCAAATCTCCACCAATGCTCTTGCGAGTGGGTTTCCTAGATGATGAGATATATATTATATATGTGTGTAATAACCGGATCCGGATCATCTGCAGTACAACATAGAGTTCCCCTGTGATAACAGTGACCTCCGTATGCTACAGTAACCACCGCACGGTACTGTGCCGAAAATCCTGTAGTAACATTGACTGGGTTTACTGTATCGCTTAGCAGTATGATCTACTCCCTCTGTTTAATATTATAAGACTTTCTAGCATTTCCCATATTTATATAGATGTTAATGAATCTAGACACATAGATATGCCTAGATTCATTAACATTTATATAAATGTGAGGAACGCTAAAAAGTCTTACATTGTAAAACGTAAAACGGATGAAGTAGACTATTAGACCGTGACCGTGTAGTTTGGAATCCCTTCTAAGCAAGGGATCCAAATTCTAATGTGCCCAGCTGTTCATCCTCTTCGTCAGTACCTCGATCCAAATTCATAATAACCCCTAACAATATTCACAAATCACAACGGGGAGAAATAAAACAATTTACACCTTCGAGAACATATATCTCCCTGTTTTTTCTTGTATAAATTATTTAGAAAATCTTTTGAAAATAAGATTACAAATTTATATACACGATACAAATATTCTAAATTTCTGACCGTCCTGCTCCACACTACTAGAAAAAGCATTTTCCTCAACATTGGGGTCTTATTTTCGCAGTCGGACATGACTTTTGGAGCCAAATGACCGCCTACAAAAATATAAATTGGGGTGATGTTTGCTGTTTCGCAGGCAGACTACTTAAGCGGTGCCTGCGAAAAAATGAGGAGCAATATAAATAGACCCATTCTGAGCAGATTTTTTTCTAAGTCACATTCTCTCCCTCACTTATCCTCTCCCTCACCTCTCTCTCTCTCCCTTAGATCCCTCTCCCTCACTGACTCTCCTCTCCTCTCCGGCGGTGCGGTGGGAACGGCGGCGCGGCAGGGACGGCGACTCCATGCAGCGGCGCGGCGGGGACGGCGGCGGCGGCTCCCCTCGCCCCCTCCCTCCCAGATCTGGCCGGAGGAGCGAGGGGGAGGCCAGCGGGGCGACGGCGGCGACGACGGCGCGGGATGGCGGCGGCGGCGGCGACGACGACGCGCGCGGGGCAGCCGGCGGCGGCGACGACGCGCGCGGGGCGGCTGGCGGCGGCTCCCCTCGCCCCCTCCCTCCCATATCTGGCCGGAGGAGGGAGGGGGGAGGCCGGCGGGGGCAACGGCGGTGCGGGGCGGCGCGGGGCGGCCGGCGGTGTCTCCCCTCCCCCTCCCTCCCAGATCTGGCCGGAGGAGGGAGGGGGAGGCCGGTGGCGGGGACGACGGCGTGGAGTGGCGGCGGCGCGACGACGACGACGGCGGCGACGACGACGACGGCAGCGGCGGTGACGACGACGACGACGGCTCCCCTCCCCTCCCCTCTCAGATCTGGCCGGGGAGGGGGGCGACGGCGTGGCGGCGGCATGCGGCGATTTTTTTTTATTCGTTTTTTTGCATTTTCGCAGGCGAGGCTGTTGCCCCGACTGATTTTCACAGTCGTTGTGGCGCAGGCGGACCTCCCTCCCGCCTGTGAAAATTAGGTTTGGCCGCTTGGGAAAATTAGTTTTCTAGTAGTGCCAGCTAGCTGCCTAACCGGCGACCGCTGGTGGCAGGGGCGGATCTACAGTGTAATGGCTGGTGTTAGACGACACCAACAACTTTTGGTAAAACCTAGCTATAGCGAAATTGCTTATCCATATATTATAACATCATGATTTTAGCATAATTAGCATATTATGACATCAATAAATACGTTATAGCACCAACAAATCGATTTTCTGGATCACTGCTAGATGGCGGTGACTTTTACTAGTGCCTGCTTGTTAGTCTGGAGCGAAGAGAAAGATTGTTCATGTTGGCCACGGTGCTATCGTGATTACTGGATGGAATTATGTCAAAAATTAAGCTCTGGAGCTGACGGCGGCTCTTGACTAATTAACTCAATATTAACTACTTGTTTGGTGTCCATGACAGGTCTTGACTATAGGGCATGCAATATCTTGAGCTAATATATATAATGGCGACGACTTTGACAATACTTTGCATTGGAGATCTCTACGACTTATGCTTTTTGTGGTGGTTTATATACATTTTTCGTGAAGAAAAATGACACGAGCTACCATCTAGTTGTCAAATTAGTTGGACTAAGGCTCCCACTGATTGCCCCATATATATAGAATTATCGCTGCCAGAATTTAAATTTTAGAACTTTATTTTTAAAAAAAAATTCAACATAGTTTATTGTTTTATTATTGGTTTTTGAATTACTAAAGAACATATATATAAACATTTCACCTTTCTTTTCTAATATGTCATACGTGTATTATCAGCATGCATATGGAAGAAAAAATAGGGGCTAAAGCCGCCTTCTTTCTACTAGTTAATAGTGGAGTGAATTATTCACATTAACTATTTATATCATGCTTCAAAAGTAGATTTATAATTATTCACATTAATTATAAAAAACTTTCTCCGTCAATATTGCTAATAACATTAAGATATTAGTACTAACATTTTTATGTATAATATATATTTAATTAATCCATGTGTTAATTAAGCATAACTGATTAAACATATCCGTGTTTTGACTAGTTGTGTGGGACTCACGAGTGAGATGTTGACTTGGTTCTTGAGTAGTGCCATGCTATATATGGCGACGACTTTGACAACGCTTAATTGGACATTTATTAAAAAAACACTATTAATTCTTTGGACTGAAGATTTCAGCTCTACGGTTTCCATGAAACCGACAACCGAACTTTAATTTCTTCGAACACGTGCACAATAACACAAAACTACAGTGGTGTATCTAGCATTAGTGTATGGGTGGTCCGACTAAAAAATATGTTTGAGCACCGAAAAACAATAATGCGAATATGTACAATACTAATATAGATAATACAATTGGCCAAAAGTGCAACGATATATTAATAAGTCATCTTATAACCATTTTAAAATTATCAACGAAGTAATAATTTATCTTAAAAGACACATATATGGCTAGATTGCTATAGTATTTCTTGTTGGGTCTAGGCTTTCTAATGCCAATAAAATGTGTCCATTAATCATTATCTATCTTCATATTTCAACCATCTATATTAATACAACAGTCAACAGT